GGATTTGGGTCACTTCAGGCTGCAGTCTGAACGCAGCCTTAGTCTGTCTCTCTCTTTCTATCTATCTCTTATTCTCTCTGGTCTCTCTGTATTTCTCTCTGTCTCTCTCTTCTCTTTCTGTCTCTTCTGTATTTCTCTTGCTTTTATTTCTCTCTCTCTCTTACTCTCTACCCATCCATCCATCTTTCTATCTCTCTTATAAGCGCTAACTCTTCTCTTTCTCTCTTCCCTCTTTTCTCTCTTTCCTGATCTCTCTATCTCTCTATATATAGCTCTCTTACTCTCTCTTCTCACTTCTCTCTCTCTCTCTTCTATCGCTCTTAGTCTGTCTCTCTCTTTCTATCTATCTCTTATTCTCTCTGGTCTCTCTGTATTTCTCTCTGTCTCTCTCTTCTCTTTCTGTCTCTTCTGTATTTCTCTTGCTTTTATTTCTCTCTCTCACTTACTCTGTACCCATCCATCCATCTTTCTATCTATCTCTAGTATAAGCGCTAACTCTTCTCTCTCTCTTTCTCTCTCTTCTCCCTTCTCACTTCCCTCTTTCCTCTCTTTCCTGATCTCTCTATCTCTCTATATATAGCTCTCTTACTCTCTCTTCTTACTTCTCTCTCTCCTATCGCTCTTACTCTGTCTCTCTCTTTCTATCTTTTTCTTATTCTCTCTGGTCTCTGTATTTCTCTCTGTCTCTCTCTTCTCTTTCTATCTCTTCTGTATTTCTATTACTCTTGTCTGTCTTCTCAGTTCTCTCTCTCTTGCTCTCTACCCCTCCATCTTTCTATCTCTCTTATACTCCCTACCTCTCTCTCTATATATATAGCTCTCTTCCTCACTCTTCGTACACCTCTCTCTTACCCTCTTTCTTTCTATTTCTCTCTTATTCCCTCTCTGGTTTCTTTGTATTTCTCTCACTCTCTATCTCTCTCATACTCTCTTCTCTCTGTCTCTCTTCTTACTTCTCTTATCTCTATCTCTCTATCTCTTCTCTTTCTCTCTCTTTTTGTCTCTTCTCTATTTCTCTTACTCTTGTCTCTCTTCTTTGTTACCTCTCTCTCACTCTTCTCTTTTCTCTCTTTCTTGATCTCTATCTCTCTCTATATATAGCTCTTTTACTCTATTTTTACTTTTCTCTGTCTCTCTCCATCTCTTTTACTCTGTCTCTCTCTTTCTATCTCTTATTCTCTCTCTGGTCTCTGTCTATCTCTCTTACCCTCTCACTCTTCTCTCCTCTCTCTTCTCTCCTTTCACACTTTCTTGATCTCTCTATATATAGCTCTCTTACTCTCTCTTCTTACGTCTCTCTCTCTCTCTCTTGCTCTCTACCTCTGCATCTTTCTCTTATACTCTCTACTGCTTCTCTCTCCCTTTCTCTATTACACTCTCAATTTCTCACCTCTCACTTCTCTTTTTTCTCTTTCTTGATCTCTATCTCTATAGCTCTCTTATCTCTTACTCTCTCTCTCTTTCTCTCTCTCTCTCTCTCTCTCTCTGTCTCCCTTACTCTGTCTTTCTCTTATTCTCTTGCTGTTCTCTATCTCTCTTTTACTCTCTTCTCTATCGCTCCTATCTCTCTTTTACTCTCTCTCTTACTCTCTTTCTCACTTCTCTTTTTTCTCTCTTTTCTCTTTTACTCTCTCTTCTCTGTCTCTTTTACTCTTTCTCTCTTCTCTCTCTCTCTCTCTCTTACTCTCTCTCTCTGTAGCTCTTACTCTCTTCTCTCTTTTACTCTCTCTTCTGTCTTTTTTACTTTCTCTCTCTCTCTTTCTCTTACTCTCTTTTCTCTCTCTTTCTCTCTCTTCTCTGTCTCTTTTACTTTCTCTCTCTCTCTTACTCTCTTTTCTCTCTTTCTCTCTCTCTCTCTTCTCTGTCTCTTTTACTTTCTCTCTCTCTCTTACTCTCTTTTCTCTCTCTCTCTCCTCTTTTCTCTCTCTTTTCTATGTCTCTCTCTCTCTCTCTCTCTCTCTCTCTCTCTCTCTCTCTCTCTCTCTCTCTCTCTCTCTCTCTCTCTCTCTCTCTCTCTCCCTCCCTCCTTTTTGTACCGCATTCGTTTGTCTGTAGCTTTGTTTGTAATCGCTCCGTGGGCTTTGGTGGCTCCGTGCTCACCGTGGGTGTGTGAATAGACCAGACCGGGGGTTGGTTACAGAGCCTTGTGACTCTCTCTCTCTTCTCTCTCCTCTCTATCCTCCTCCTCCCTCACTCTTTGCCTCGCACTGGTGGAGAAAGCAGGTGATCCAGAGTCGCTCCAGCTCTCCGTATAACATGATTACAACATCATTTAGCTGAATTAGTTTAGTGTTGTTAGTTTATTGCGATGCTTTGTACACAGCCGTATGTAGGTTTCGGCGCGTGTCTACACTCAAAGCGGTGCCCTGAGCAGACGTGGCGGGTAAGTCCGTTTTCACATGGATTCATTTGATAGCTTTGAAGTCCGAAAAAGGTATTATAGTTGTATAGTTGTCGATAATATTTGCATACTTCTGTAATATGATCTAGTATATATGCAGTACAGTGATAATAATACAATAATAAGTTAAGAGTAGAAGTGATATTTGGACTAAAAACTAAATATTGTCAAGTTAAGATGACTTGAATTAAGAAAGTTTTATCATGATTTGAGTAAATTTCAGAAGACAAGTAAAATTATATGTCAATTGAAACTTTTTTTGTTTAAAATATGAAAATACAGCTTGCTACACTTAAAATAAGAAAAACAACAACTTTTTGCACTTAAAATAAGAAACAAAATCGACTGTTGCTTGAATTAAGAAAAACACACTTGTTTCATTGGTAGATAATTTTACTTGTCAAGTTGAATCTACTCAAATAAAGTAAAATGTTCTTAATTTAAGTCATTCTAACTAACATAGATATTGTTTTTTTTTCCATTGTTTAAAGTGCAGGAGAGGGTCTGCCACCTGCTTGTTTCCATGGACATGTTATTGCTTTTTCTAGAATGTTACACAGTATGAAACTAAAACTATCAAAAGGGAAGCAAGCAGGTTACACAGTACTATGCTACATTACGATTCAGATCTGTGGAGAGGTGCCCCTGTTCACAGAAGGAATTATTGTATTTTTGAGCAATAGAGACACCTGTAACGAGTAAATGGTAGATGGATCCATTTAATGTCATGCTGTGGAACATTCAAGGCAGAGCAATGACATACCATAGAAACAAGCAGGTGATGGACCGTAATCTGTGTATCATTAGTTAATTCATTTTTCAAAATAAAACAAAAAATAAGAAAACGAAAAAACAACTATTTTCTTCATTATTTGTCCCCAAAACCAAAATGAAAAAAAAAAAAATAAGATAACGATTTGTTTTTTTTTTCTGTTTTTCGATTTTGGGTTTAAAAGAATAATGGAAAAAATGGATGACAGCAGTTTCCTGTTCCCATTATTTAAACTGAGATGCTGGACTTTTGTGCCGCATACGGACTGAACCAGGACTAAAACAGGACTAATCCAGGACTGAACCAGAACTGATCCCAGGACTGAACCAGGACTAAAACAGTATTAAAACAGGTCTAAAACAGGTCTAACCCTAACCAGAACTAAACTGGTCTCAGTCCTGGCCTTGGTCCTGGTCTGGTTCCGGTCTCAGTCCGGGTTTGGTCCTGGAGTGATCCCGGTCTCTGTCCCGGTCTAGTCCCAGTCTGATCCCGGTCTCAGTCCTGATCACCTGAGTCTACACAGGTGCACCTCCGGGCCCATCCCGACACTCAGTCCTGGTTCAGTCCTGGTTCAGTCTATATGCAGCGTAAAAGTCCGACATCACAGTTTAAGTCACAGAAACAGGAATCGGCCGTCATCCGTTTTTTCCATTATTCATTTAAACACAAAATTGAAAACTGGAAAAAAAAACAAAAAAAAACGATATCCATTTTTTTTTTTCCATTTCAGTTTTGGAGACAAATAATGAAGAAAAAAAGTTGTTTTTTAAATTTTCTTATTTTTTGTTTTATTTTGAAGATCGAATGAACGAATGATTCATGGATTGACCCCCAACTAAAAGTTACAAGTTCTTTTTTGGACTGTATTTATTGTTTAAATTAGATGCGCCGTCGTGTATGTAAATAACAGCTGAGGACTTGTTATCTGTGCTTGTTTTGCATTTTTAGTTTTTGTTGTAGAATTTGGCGCGATAGAAAAAAAATGCGCATCAAAGGAAAACATTTTGACATGGTGAAATTGTGTAAAGTTCTTAGTAGTTGTACCTTGGAAAAACCTGCTGTGGGTGTGTTTGCCTCTCCGCAGATCTGACTTTACTGCTTTACTTTAGTTTGATACTAGAATTTAGGAACTGCAAAAAGGTCAAGAATATGTGTGATAATGGGGGAGAGACAGAATTTTTACCACAATAAGCACAAAAACACAAATTATTCCAGTTATTGTCTTGTTATTGTAGTACCAAGTCCTTAAGGAGTTTACTTTGATTAACAACTGATCCAATTATCCCACCATTTGTCTATATTACAGTTTGTTAATGTATGTTTTTAACCTTCAAATTCAATGGAAAAAGACATTAGTAAAACCTCCTACAGTCTTCATTCGGTCATAGAAGTTTTATTAAGGCATAAATCCAACGTTTACTATTTAAGCAGGTTTAGGAACTGGCAACCAATGATTAATTTGTGATTGTAATGGCAAGAGCGCAGGCAATTTACAGTTCCAAATCTCCACTGGTTTAACATTAGGCTGAAACTCAAAACTGTGTGAGCGCTATAAATAAAGTAACCTACCAAATCTGCCATATTGCCAACATGGCTCTCACCAGATTTATACGTGCAGCCTTCTGAATCTGTCTTTCCACTACAATAGGCCAAAGCACGACTGTCATCTTCACTATGTTTGTTTTGGTTGGCTTGGCGTTGGCTTCTGCCCAAACCACAGTGCTGCCCTGTGATTGGTCAGTCTCCGCACCACGAACGCTTCATCTCGGTGCACGGGTTACCATATTGCTGTCTCGAGCCTAACATTTTGCTGATTGTGTGTTGCAGGTAATTAAAGTGTACAATGAAGACCAGAGCAGCCGCGCCGTGGAGGTGCCCAGTGACATCACAGCGAGAGACGTGTGCCAGCTCTTTGTCCTGAAGAACCACTGCATCGATGACCACAGCTGGACCCTGTTTGAACACCTGTCCCACCTGGGGATAGGTATGATCTGCACCTCTGCACCTCTCCCCACCACAGTCAGAAAGAAAAGCAAATATTATTACAGGGATAGTGACAGAGGGGCAGACTATATATGTACAGTTAGCTGAAATGTTTAGTTTGAAGTGTTATTGTCATGACAACAGTTCTGCGCTACCTTCCAAACTTAAAGCCACCGTATGTAACCTTTTTGCAAAAAAATAGGCATACGTAAAAGCGTGTTTGCTCATTTGTTTGTATTGCACTGTAAAACATGTGTCCTTGCTGTAAGCGGGCTTGCATCTCCACAAACCTGAATTTTCTGTGGCCTGGAAGGGAGCCTCCGGTTTGTTTCCATGGAAATATTGTTCCTTTGGCTAACTCTCCTTCTCCACGGATAATATTCCAACTTGCCTTCTCCAGAAAGCTACATACCGCACCTTTAAGCCGTGCACGTACAGTGTAATTCACTTGTTTTGGATTGTTGATTGCAAGAAATTTAAATAGGATTACCAGCGGGCATAATCTGTATCCAAGTGTTGGCATTAAGTGCCTTTTGTTGAGGTATTATGTGCCAGGCCTTCAGCCCTAAAGTAGCTCAGATAAAAACTATGGGGAGAAAGTAATAAAAATGCCTTATACAGTGCACAGTCTCTAATATAAGTGGGTGCATTTAAGGCAGTAAAATTTAGATTATACAGAAGTGACAGCAATGGTGCAGCCTGACCAAGTGCTCATCTTTCATGTTTTAAAAAGATTATTGTGGTAAATTACTGTTGGTAGGCCTGTCACAATAACACATTTTGAAGCATAAGCATAAATATAGACAATAACCAGTAATACTTAAACAAATTTGTATGACACTGTAACCCAAGATCCGATTTATACCACAAAAACTATTCCAAATCTACAATATTGTTACCAAAAAACACAAGATGTAATGAATAAAAAGCAGAATAAAACACTATAGTTCTTAGTTTGCATCCGTAATGAGTTAATTAAGTTCATAATTTAACCTTCTACAGCTCGAATCTTATCGTACAGCCACAAAAAAAAGTCAATATAGTAATTATTGTGACAGGCCTAATTGTTAGCATATCTCCAATAGGATGTTCCACGTGAGTATATATATAGGTCGTATAGGTTTCTCACATTTAGCAAATAATTACAGTATAGGAACAGTCTGGGAACACATTGTATTCCTTACCATATCATTCTTCTCCAAACCACGCCTGCTTATTTGTTTTTTTGAATGATGAGTGGTTTTATTTATTAAAGGCAATATATTATGCAAAATTTACCTGCATGAACTTTTAGGCATGTGGTAATGTTATTACGTTATCAAAAACACACCTGGAGTTGTGTTTTGTTTCATTTGTGCTTGAGTAACCCTTCAAATCTCAAAAATGCTCTGTTCCAACTTGTGATGTTATGAAGCAATAGTTTTCAAGTTAGAAGCTACTTTTTACCCTTTGTTCGGTAAAGATTGGCAATTCCAGGGCTGAAATTATCCGAACGATTCTAGTGAAGGTGTATGGAGTTAAAAAACAAAGTGGAGTGTCTGAGAGAGGAAATATGGAATTTTTGGTTACGTTTGATGAGGAAACAACATTATAATCTCGATCAGAAAGTAGTTTTGTCTCTTATTCGTGGAACCAATATGCCTCGCCTTGTTTTGTGGCAGTTCTGTTAAGTTTGGTTAGTTTCGTTTATTTGCCACATTGGAAAAACCATGTCAAAACCGCCTAAAATTTAGTCATTACTACCATATATAGTCCCTCGGCAGCTTTCCATTCCAACCGTCCATCTATGTTTAAAAAGGCACATATTACGCTATTTTCAGATCAATGTTATAATGTTTCCTCATCAAAAACACACCTGGAATTGTGTTTTGTTTTTTCACACAAATCCTGCATATTGGTATATTTTACTAAATTATTTTGTTACAGTGCTACAGTTTTGCTCCTTGAAACTCGTTTATGTGACATTTTCACTGTTTTTATGATTAAAATATTTGTTTCATACGAACTTTGCACAAGAAGTGGTTTAACAAAGACTTTTAGTATCACAGCCGTCATTGTGCCTTTTAGTTTTTATTGAACTGTATTGAATCGATTTGAAATACCGTATTTTCTGTATTATAAGGCGCACTTTCATTGAATTATTTTCAAACTTTTTTTCACAAATAAACCGCACCGGACTTTAAACGAAGCAGAACAGTTGGATGGGTCAGTTGGACTTTGTTTGTCGAGTTCACAGTGACTCTGGGCTTTGTTCAGTTGTGGCGTGTAGGGAGGGTGCTGTCTGGGACCGCTGGATTGTCGGCGTGTTCGCAGTGACTCAGTTGTTCAGTTGTGGCTAGAAGTGGCACATTGCACTCGCTTTTTCGGTTCGTTCCTCCCTTCCATTCCTCGTCCGTGTGGAGTGATGAGTGTGGCTGCGGGTGTTTTTCGCTGTGTGGTTGCTATCTGCTCCGTGCGTGTTTGCGTATTCTGCGGGTGGTGCGGCTTTGTAGTTTACTGAACTCGTGCTTTGACACCCGAGTGGATTCATGTATGGGGCACTCTGGATTGTGGGTCGTTTTTTGATGGGGTTGGAGGCTTAAGAGCGCGTCTAATAGCCCGGAAAATACGGTATATCGTATTGAGCACAAGTACACTGTATCAAGATGCATATTGTATCATGACGTATCATGTTGAGGTATGTAACGTATCAGCAACTTCTTAATGATGCCCAGCCCTAGTGGTAATACAAGAAGTACACTGTGTTTTAAACTCCATTGGAATTACCAATCTCTACTGAACTAAAAAATCTAACATAGCCATTAACAGCCACTTCATGACATGCCAAGGTGGAACAGAGCATTGTGAGCTTTGGAGATGTAGACAGACTAGTAATAAAAGGTTACTCAAACATGTGTGAGCGAAAAAAAACACAGCTCCATGTCTGTTTTTGAGCAGCTAACAGTATTCTCTCATGAATTAAAGCTCACAAGAGTACATTTTGTGTACTATAGGACCTTTAAAAACTATTTATATATCAACATTTCATTGCAAAGTAGCTTCAGAATGCAAAGTGCTGCATCAATCTCCATTTTGACATCTGATTACCTGAGTCACCTCTTGCTTTAACAGTACTCCATGTGGCCCTTCAGTCCTCACTGTTTACTCACATACAAAGCCCTTTTAGTGTTGATCAAATAAAAGATTTTCATTATTTAAGAGTAGGCTTAACTTCTAGGAAAAATACACAATAATGAATGACTTTGAGACAACACCCCAATGGTTACGTTATACTTTAATACACGAGATAAATTATCAACTTCTTTCCTCGAAGTGATGCTATTAATCAGAGCATAAACTTAATAACCTGCCTCTGTTGTGAAATCATTGTACTAGAAAATCTCATCTCTCTTATGTATAGTTTGGCCTGGGCTTTTGATCTGTGGGTGGCTTACATTGTTCTGGTAACACACTATTACATAACTCACAGTGTTAATAAAGCGTCAATGAATAGTTTTATATTAAAGGTGTATTATGTAACTTCTCTGGTGGAGATGTTTCACAGCCTGGCATTAAACCTTTCTATCTAGACCAAACCAGACCAAGTTGCAGGTCAGATCTGTGGAGAGGTCAGACTACCTGTTTTTTTTAAAGTATTTTTGAGCTATAAAACCACTGTAACTGATTAAATGTAAAGTAGAGTGGTAATGTGGAACAATCCAGGCAGTGCAGTGATGTATAAGCAGGTGACGGACCCCTAACCAAAAAGTGACATAGTGCATCTTTATGTGTGATTCATGTTTAGTAACTTATTAATTTAGGGCAGGGCTGTCCAAACATTTTGTCATCAAGGGCCATATATTTAAACACAGATGAAGCAGAGAGCCGATCGCGGGCCATAGACTGATGCTAAATACAGTGAATAATTGAAATATGTGCATGTTTAATGCGTTAGAATGAGCCATCTGTCTTTATTCATGCTAACATCCTTAAAACCACACACTAAATATTAAATATTAGCTTTGTCAAGGTTGATTTTCAAAAGACGTGTAGTAAAAAAATATTTTTAAGTGATGCAAAGTATTTTGGGCCAATTCACCTGGAAGTCTGAGGACCAAGAAAAACTTGCCTGAGGGCCGCATTTGGCCCCTGGGCCATAGTTTGGACATGCCTAATATATGGGTTACGGTAATAATTCTAAAAACCCAACCGTGTAATTTTTTAGCCAGACAAATAGACTAAAAATAGACTTTTTCACTGTTTTGATTGCTTTGAAACCAGGTGTCCTTACCATGAGTGGGCTTACATGTCCACAAACCTGACTCTTACTTAGCTTGGCAGATTTCCTTGTGCCGCTTGTTTCCATGGAAGTGTTGTTCCTTTGACAATAATCTTCCACAGTGTGGCATAAAACTGGTCTGTCTCCATGGAGGAATATGATTTGCACTTTCTGTGTCCATGGAGTCATACAGGTGACACAGCACCTCAAGAAAGTTACATACTGTTCCTCTAAGGGTATTAGGGTATTAAAGGTCCTATATTACACAAAATTGACTCCATAAGATATCTTAAAATGTTATCTCCTTTAAAATATACCTGGAGTTGTGTTTTGTTTCACACTTTTGAGAAATCCTTCATTATTAAAATGGCAAGGCAAATTTATTTGTATAGCACAAATCATACACAAAGTAATTCAAAGTGCTTTACGGAATAAGAAATAAAAACAAATTAAAACATAAATAATCATCATAAAATTAAAAAGAGAGAGAGACATTAATTGCATAAATTAGAGAGAAGAGTGCAGAATGAAAACCATTCAGTCACAGAACCGTTTTGAGCCTGGATTTAAACAGCCTGTTTCAGCTTTGTGAAGTGGTAGTTTTCAAGTTAACAGCTCCTTTTTACCTTTTGGTCTGTAGAGATGGGCAGTTCCAGGGCTGAAAACGTTCAAATGATTCTAAACACAGTGGAGCACTTCCTGTATGACGTCACAAGGTGGAAAAGAGAATTGAGAGAAGAACTAAGCCTAAATATGCAGTTGCAAACATTATAACTTAGATCAGAAAATAGAACAGGCCTTTAATAAAGTTACTGTAAACTAAGTCTTCATGCTTTATTATATCTAATTTAGATGTACATTTTTCTATTGTTGTATTGTGTGTTTGTTTTGATAGAGAGAACAATAGAGGACCACGAGTTGGTGATGGACGTTATATCAGGATGGGGCATGGACTCGGACAGTCGCCTTTACTTTAGGAAGAATTACGCAAAATATGAATTCTTCAGGAAACCACTGGTAAGTCAGTGACCCAATTCTACATGACATTTTGACACCACATAAGCAGAAATTATGACTTTAAGAACATCCTTACTCCATACCATGCTTCGTCTTATTTGTGGCAATGTTAAATTTGGCTAGTTTCGTTTATATTTGTAGTTAAAAAAGACATTGCTAAAGGCTCAAAGACTTTATCTGACATTGTTATGGGCAGGATTTTTTCCCCGGTCACATGGTGTCGATATCCAGTGAAACAAACGGCCTGGTGGATCACTCGCAGCTAATAGAGGTAAAATACACTCTTATATTAAATTATGAATGAGTATTTTTGTCTTTTCTTTCCCTCATGTGATTTTTACTTTTACTTTTTTTTCTTCTTCTTCTTCTTTTTAGACCTTTCTGAACTCCAGTACCTGTCCGGAGATCCACGGACATCTCCACGCCAAAGAGCAGGGCCGCAAATCCTGGAAGAGGTTTTATTTTGTGCTCCGCAGATCTGGCCTGTACTTCTCAAATAAAGGCACATCTAAGGTAAGCAAGACAAATGTTGCTGGGTTATGCTGCATGTATGTAGTGTATTTTTTGGACTGTAAGGCGCACCGGATTATAAGGAGCATTAAGCAAAACAGACTACTCTTGAGACTAGTACCTTAGCCCAGGTGTCCATGCACCATTGGCTAATAGTGTCATATGTGGGTGGTAAGTTATTTTTTTTATTTCCTATGAGGAGGACTCAAATATAACTTCAGTAATAATGCATTTAATGCAGCTTTGTGAAAGTCACATTCTATAAACTTCCATAAATTTCCATAAACTATAAGTGCTGAAAAAAAAATCAGCTCGCTTCTTGTGCACTGATGTGGTCAGCTTTTGTCAGACTAAAGGACATGACTCAGTAGAATATGAGTGTTCTTTCTGTGACAGAGGGGTGTTCTGCTGATGGTGAGTCTGTTCTGTGCTTCTATCGTGCTGGAGATGGTTCATGTTAAACTTTTCGGAGATTATAAGTCTGCAGGTCATACACGTAGACCGTATATATGAATGGACATATATTCGCTGCAGCATTACACTGACGTCATAAATGCTGATGCAGAACTATACTCTGCCCTTTACTTCGCGAGGCTCCTGACTAAGCCGTAATGCTCCGACAGTCCATCAAGTGGTGCGGCTTCGTAGCTTAACAAAGTCATACTAAAACATTTTGGCAGATTTTTGAGCTCCATGTACCCCATAAAATCAGTTCGAGGTCAGTAAGCACAACCAGAATTAATACATAAGACGCACTGTTGATTTTTGAGAAAATTAAAGGATTTTAAGTGCGCCTTATAGTCCGAAAAATATGGTATATGGCGGAGTGTTCAACAGTTTCCATGATGATACAGTACTCACATACGTAAACACAGCCCAAAAAAGTTTTAAGATAGTCAAGAAAAAATACAAAATTGATTTAAATGATACATTTTCAGGAGAATGTGGTCAATAAAGGATTCTAGTGTTCATGGTCCTGTTTAATCATTTGATTTTCAAAAAAACGTGAGAGTGACTATATGAAAACTTGTTGGCTGATGTTATTCGAGAGGGAATCATCTCACCTTTTATAGTTCCAGATAAGTCTTTGTGGTTAGACGGTGTTAAAGTCTATCAAAGCTTCAGACAGAGCATGCCTACAGTTAGCGACATCAGCTGCAAACTATCAATCACAATACTATAATCCATTTCTTACCACAATTTTAAAACTGCTGGATTTGGATTTTGCAATATGTATCATACAAAATGGTACGCTGGCACGGCAGGCTCACTGGCACCATGGCAACCCGGTCCACCTCCTCTGAGCGCCTGTCCACGGCTTCATTTGCACGCCCGCTCAGCGCTCTGAGGTCACGGGGTAATGTGCTGCTCTGTGCCAGGGCCAGAGGAGCGCGCTGAGCTGGATTTTCCTTAGGTCAGCTGGCATGACAGGCCTGGTACTCTCTTTCTCCCCTTCTCTCGTTCTCTCTCTGTGTGTCCTTTTCTACCCCTGCCCCCCACCTCCTCTCTCTCTCTCTCTCTCTCTCTCTCTCTCTCTCTCTCTCTCTAGCCCACTCTCTGTCTCTTTCTCTCTCTCGCTGTTTCTCTTCACCCCTCATTCTCTATCTTGCTCTCTCATTTATGCCTTCTCTTCCCCCACTCTTTCCCTGTCTTTCTTCCAGTTTCTTGTTTCTCTCTAACGCCATCTCTGTCTCTTCACCTCTCCCTTTCTCTTTTGTTCTCTTTCTCTACCTCTCTGTCTCTCTTCTCCCTCTTTCTCTCTCCCTCTGTCTTCTGCTGTTTTCTCTCTCTCTCCCTCTCTCTTTCTCTGTTTGTCTTGCGCTGTCTCTCTCTCTCTTTCTGTTGTCCAGTCTCTTGTCTCTCTCATTCCCTCTCTCTGTCTTGCTCTCTTTTTTTCTAATTCTCTCTCCCTCTCTCTCCCTCCCTCTCACACTCTCCCACTGTCACTCTCTTTACCAGTCCCTCTCCCACTGTTTCTCTCTACCCTTTTCTCCATCCTCCCCTCTCTCTGCCTCTTTCTCTCCCATCTCTTGCTCTCCAAACCTCTTTCTGTCTCCATCTTCCTCTCACTCTCTCACCACTCACTCTCTCTCTCTACACTTCTCTCGTCACGGCTGTCCCTCCTTTCTCCCTCTCTCTTTCTCTCACCCTCTCATCACCACTTTCACTCCTTTCTCTCTTTCCTCTCTCTCTACCCCCTCTCTCTTCTCTCATGACCCTTCTCTCTCTCCCCCCCTCCCTCTCTCTCATCACCTTTCTCTTTCTCTCCCTCTCATCACCCTTCTCTCTCTCTCCCTCTCTCATTCTCTCTTTCTCCATCTCGCATCACCCTTCTCTCTCCCTCTCTCCCTCCCTCCCTCTCATCACCCTTCTCTCTCTCTCCGTCTCTCATCACCCTTCTCTCTCCCTCTCTCTCATCACCCTTCTCTCTTTCTCTCTCCCTCTCGTCACCACTATCACTCCTCTCTCCCCTTCTCTCTCTCTTCCTCTCTCTCTCTCTCTCTCTCTCTCTCTCATCACCCTTCTCTCTCTCTCTCTCTCTCTCTCTCTCTCTCTCTCTCTCTCTCTCTCTCTCTCTCTCTCTCTCTCTCTCTATCTTCCTCTCTCTCTCTCTCTCCCTCTCCCTCTCTCGTCACCACTATCACTCCTCTCTCTGCCTTTCTCTCTCTGTCTCGGTCAGTCTCTCGTCACCCTTCTCTCTCTCCTTTCTCCCCTTTTCTCTCTCTTCCTCTCTCGTCACCCTTCTCTCTCGTCTTTCTCCCCTTTTCTCTCTCTCCCTCTCTCGTCACCCTTCTCTCTCGTCTTTCTCCCCCTCTCTGCTGACGAGTAGGGGTTTATTCCGAAACCGCCGCCGGCCAAGAACACCTCCTCCAGCTGCTTTCATTTCCTACAGACACACTACAGCTTTTGTTGAACCATTACTCTCTCTCTCTGTCTTTCTCTTTTTTTTTTTTTTTTTTTCCTTTTCAAATTTTACCCTTTTTCTCGTCACAATTTGTTCGTCTGCGGTCCGGGCTAGACACATCAGCAGTCAGTCATCAACAATAAGGGTTTATGGAGTTTACAGGAGACGAGGGAGTGTCTGCCGGTGTCACACGAAGGCCAAACAATACCCGTCTTTGTGATACTTTGTGTAACATGTATTTTTAGCTGCTCCTTGGTTGATACTGTGTCCTATCAACAAGGCTAAAAATAGTCAACTTATCTTTTATTGAGGAGCTGCAAAAAGTTATCTGACATGACTTTGACCACTGAATTACAAAGATTTGGCTCATACGTCGTTGTGGTGTAAGGATATAAACCACATTTTTAAATTTTAAAGGTCCTATATTACCATATTTTCAGGAATATAAGTCGCTCCGGAGTATAAGTCGCACCAGCCAAAAAATGCGCAATGAAAAAGAAAAAAACATATATAACTCGCACTTTTTGGGGAAATGTATTTTGTAAAATCAGAGACCAGGAACCGATATTTGATCTTGAAAGCCAAGTTCTAGTAATAACAACAGAATAGAGAACAACAGACTGAATAGGCGTTAATATGTAAACGTAACATATTAACACTTATTCAGATAATTATAGCATAAACAACAGAACATAAGTTTACTAAACTCGAGATCTCACTCCAAGTCACTAAATCCATTGAATTCTTCATCCTCGGTGTCACTTCTGCGCGACCTCCGGAGATAAACCATAGATCCATGATGTAAACTTTCTCTTCTGTGTTGCTGTTGTCAGACTCGGCATCAGTTCCAGTTAGAATTATTTCGGCTTTTCTGAATCCTGACAGGATGGTTTCGATTGTCATTGAAGTTCAGGCTTTGTCGATTCATCCAATGACTTCCAGAAAAGTTGCATGGTGCACCCGCCCGGTTGCCGTGAAGCTGTGTTCTCCATCCCCGCTTTCAGCCAGTCCCTCACAAGTTTCTCATTCACTTCAAACTCAATTCTGCTGCTCGATTACTGTTTTCGGCTGCATATTTCACTATTTGCAGCAGAACAGCGGCTTTTATACAGGAGGCATGCGCAGTAAGTGACAGTGGTACAGGAGTAATAGGAGCAGGAGATACTGACACACAAGCTTAGAGCCTCTCGCGGGTGTCAGTGTGAAAATTTTAATATATAAGTCACAGGACGACCCAAACCATGAAAAATAGTGTGACTTACAGTCCGAAAAATACGGTACACAAAATTGACTCTTTAAGCTTTGTTATAATGTTGTTACCTCCTGGAGTTGTGTTTTGTTTCATTTACACGATTGAGTGATCCTGGATTATTTGGCTGTTCCACCTTGTGATGTCATGTAGTGGTAGTTTTCAAGTTAACAGCTACTTTTTAGTTTTTTATTCAATAGAGATTTAAGCAAAGAGACTTGTAATTCGACATATTGTGAGAACTTTCACAATATTTCGGTTATTGTTACTTACCTATTTAGTACACAATAGAATTAAGCACTTTTAAATATTTTTTGTTTTGTTTTTTTCTTTGGAGTATGACAGTAATGAGTCACACTGAAAACTGGTCAAGGTATTTAAAAAGAAAAAATTTGCATATTTACAATTCTGTTAACCTCTCCAAAATATCGTACTGAGACATTTGGATATCGTAACATCCCTAGTCGTCATGATGATCTGCGTTTTCCAGTTGCTTGTGTAAAACTCAGTTCAGAGTGACACACATACTAGTATAGAAAGTGTAGACATTTATTTTTATAGTATTAAAGATGATTTTTCTTTGTGTCATTTTTCGCAGGAGCCTCGGCATCTCCAGTTCATCGCCGACTTCAGTGACAGCGATGTTTACACCGTGCTGTCGGCCAAGAAGGTGCACGGAGCTCCCACGGACTTCGGCTTCTGTGTCAAGGTACAACTCCGGCCGTTCTGAACCAACCGTGATTCCATACTTGGTCCCATCTGTAGAGTCTATAATAATCCTCCTCTCCTCAGTCTTCAAAGGCCAGCTGTGTGAGGGAGCTCCGGCTGCTGTGCGCGGACGACGAGCCCACGCGGACATGCTGGATCACTGCCATGAGGCTCCTAAAGGTCTGCTCATGCTAACAGCGCTAATGCCACTAACATGTGTGTGGGTGTGCTAAAGGGAGAGATAGCACAGGCAGGCTTGATTAGCATTCCCCTAAGACTTCATTTGTCATAGTTTATATAGACAAAGTCATTTCCGAGTGACTTCATGTACCATTTTCAACCGGAAATTTTGATTTACATGAGCAATGGCGCTGGCAAGCTGTGTGGAATCCTCCGAGAAGAACAACTGACGTATTTCAGTGTTTTTTCAAAGTAGTTTATAAGTGGACTTAAAGGGGCTGTACCTGATTTTGACACTCTTAAAAACATGAAAAACAGAACTAGTTGATTTTAGAACAGTTTGTAGTGGTCTAAAGTTATTCCTCACTTAACTTATGCATTCTGGGCAGGGGTGTAGTGGGCGAGGTACGCGGGGGTACGCCGTCCAATCACTTCTCCTGATGTAAGATATAAAAAAAAATAACAAATATAAAAAATCCTACAACTTAAGTGTCAAACCGGAGCTATTGGCAATGGTGAAAACAATGTGCATACGCTCATGATATCTGCAGTACTGTCCTATAGTGACCTACCACATGAGGGACCAGGACTAAAACAGCACTAAACCAGGTCTAAAGTAGGTCTAAACCAGGACTGATTGTTAGGATAGGCCCAGAGGTGCGCCCGTGTAGACCGTCGGGTGACCGCAGAAGAAAGGACCGGCACAGAGCTCCGCGCTCCACGGGGATAAGTGCAGCTGTGGCGCGATCGTGTTTTGTGGACACCCTGCTCCGTGGGCTTGGGGTTCTCTCTCTCTCTCTCTCAAGTCCAAGATTAGTCATGGTTTAGTTCTGGTTTAGACCTGGTTTAGTCCTGGTTTAGATATGGCTTAGTCCTGGTTCATTTCTGGTTTAGTCCTGGTTTAGACATGGTTTATTCCTGTTTTAGTCCTGGTTCAGTTCTGATTTAGTCTTGATTTAGACCTGATTTAGACCTGATTTAGACCTGATTTAGACCTGGTTTAGTCCTGGTTTATTTCTGGTTTAGTTCTGGTTTAGTCCTGATGTAGTCCTGGTGTAGTCTTGGTTTAGTCCTGGTTTAGACCTGGTTTAGTCCTTGTTCAGTCCTGGTGTAGTTCCGGTTTAATCGGGGTTTAGACCTGGTTTTGTCCTGGTTTAGACCTGGTTTAGTCCTTGTTCAGTCCTGGTTCAGTCCTGGTTCAGTCCTGGTTCAGTTCTGCTTTAGTCCTGCTTTAGACCTGCTTTAGTCCTGCTTTAGTCCTGGTTTAGACCTGCTTTAGTCCTGGTTTAGACCTGATTTAGTCCTGGTTTAGACCTGTTTTAGTCCTGGTTCAGTCCTGGGCACATGTTGTATATTATGATTTATGTTTATGTCCTTATTATTCACCACGATTAGTTTCTACATGCTTTTTACAACTTTCAGAGACCAAAAACTACAACTATCATGCTAACACTGCACTTCCTGATTCTCAAACAATAAACGCTTAACAATAAAGCACTGTATTTAAGTATCAAATACTTTTTGCTTTTCCTTCACAACATCGGAGAGCAGATGTCTGTACTTACATTTTTTAACTGGATTTGCAAGTTTTTTTTCTTTTACCTGAAATGACAGAGGAAGTATTTTCAGCACATTCATAATTTGTTTTAACGTCCTGACATGAGCAATCCAAAAAATGAAAAAAAAAAAAAAAAATCAGTTCAGTTGTTTCTCTTGAATACAAAACTTTACAGTTCTTTTGACACTTAATCTCTAGTCTGAATAATAACATGTTATACTAAATAGTTTTTCATGTACTTTCACTGATTATAAAATAACTTGTTTTCTCTACATTTCTTTCAGTACGGGATGCAGCTCTACCAGAACTTTCTACAGCCACACCAGAAACAAAAAGCTTCACCTATGGTACGTGTCACTGAGATGTTATAGTACAGTGTGAAGACGGGGCCCAGCTGGACTTTGCTGCCGTGTTCCCGAGCCAGTCCTTATATAACTCATGTTTAAATGGACTCAGCCAGTAAAAATCAGAAGCTAGAATAATCAGATAACCCAATAATTACATCAGATTTTTGGAGTAACTCTTGTTTTTGGACGATAAAGTACAGTCAAAAGTTTGGACTCACTCTTTCACTCAATGTTTTGTTTATTTTTTCTTACTTCTTACTACTTCTGACTTGAAAATATATGAAGAAAAATATAAAACTTGATTGTAATTTGAGGATTTGCTTTGTGCTACATTATTCCATATTTGTTACTTCATATATTTGATGTCTTCTGTATGTATATCAAATGTAGAAAGTAGTACATGTATAGAAAAAAAAAAACATTGAATGAGAGTCCAAACTTTTGACTAATTGTGTCGTTTTTTGTTTTTTTTTTAGTATTTTCAGGTTAGGGCAAAACTTAATAGAAAACAACAAATGCTCCATAAAAAATAAACAAAAACACACAAAATTCACAAAATATACACAATTCCAGACCAAAATAAATAAGTGAATCAACAGAAAACGAAATCAATCAACGAAAACAAAAATGACTAAATGCATAAATAATCAAAAATAATCAAAAATGTTAAAAGGACAGTACATTTTTTATATTTTTATCTCTTTCATTTTTGTCTTTGCACCATTTTTGTTGGTTGAACAATCAGAGAGAAATTAGATTACCCACGTTAGACATAAATTTTTACCTGACATTTCCATAATCTGATAACTCCAGAAATCGGATAATGATCAGATTTCGGGTATGACGATGCTGTTTTTTAGTATTTTCAAGTTAGGACAAAACTGTTAATAGAAAACAACAAATGCTCCAATACAAATGCTGATACAAATATACAAAAAACACAAAATTCACAAAATAAACAAAATTCCAGACCAAAATAAATAAGTCAACCAACAGGAAACAAAAAATAGACTAAAACAAAAATGACTAAATACATAAATAATAAAAAAAATTATAAAAAATGTTAAAAGGACAGTGCATTTTTTTTTTTTTTTTCATTTTTGTCTTTTGCACCTTTTTTTTTGCATAATTTACCTAATCAAAACTTGCACAGGTTGAACAATCCGAGAGAAATTAGATTACCCACGTTAGACATAACTTTTTACATGACATTTCCATAATCTGATAACTCCAGAAATTGGATAATGAGCTGTTTTCTGGTATGACGACGCTGTTGAATTATTTTAGCGCAGGGCTGATGTCAGAGCAGTGGAAAAGTCCCTTTGTCTGGAGTCAGGACCTCAAGTGTCTGTCTGGGGCACAAGTGGTCACACGATAACAGCTACAACCGGTGCTTGAAAGAAGAGATAAGAGAATAGTTTGATGTTTCACTTCCTCTTTACGGGTCTGGAATACAAAATACTATAAAAATGTCTGCTTTGTCAGAATGTGAGGATGTGTAGGGATGTCATGATGTGAAATTTATTTATTAATATTATTGTAAGTTATCATGTTGAATTTCTTGAGTATCATTCACAATTATTTACCAAAGAACAGTTAAATCCTTAATTTATTTTCATTCACGCTGTCCACTAGATAGAAAATTTGCTTTAGTGTGGAATATGTGAGCATTAGGGATGTAACAATAACCGAAATATCGTGATATCGTATCGTCAAAGTTCTCACAATAATATCGTGGATCATCACAATATATCGAATTACAAGTGTCTTTGCTTAAGTTAAGAGTTATGGTAGCTAAAAAGACAGAGGGAACTACATAGACCATGATCCTTTGCTCCATTTCATTGCAGACTACATGAAGAAATAACAGTTCTTTGGATTAAGTCTTGTCAAAAGGAAAAAGTAGCAGATTAACAGTTTTGTCCATGAAATATCGCAATATTGTGAGATGTATATTGTGAAAATATCGTACCGAAAGATTTGGATATCGTTACATCCCTAATTGTGAGCCTCCCCACCATATTGTGAGGTTTCCCACGATATCACAATAAATCAGTGATTCTCAACCACGGTGCCGCGGCACACTAGTGTGCCGTGAGAGATCGTCAGGTGTGAAAAATTATCCAATATCACTTTTTTTAAAATAAAAATTTATTAATTATTACCTGCAAATATTATGTCATTGTCGAGTGTGCGTGCTGTAGTACAGTGTAGTATATAATGACTGGCAGAGTGATCTAATATTCGTCCGGGTGGCGACAGGCAGCTAATTGCCTCGTTCCTTTAAATCAGAGGTGCTCAATATGTCGATCCCGATCTACCAGTCGATCGCCAAGGTCGTGTGGGTAGATCGCCGTGTCTCGTCTCGGACTCGCGTTTGGACTCGGTCTTGTCTCTCAGTCAAGGTCTGACACTCAACAAGTGCGATCAGATTTCATTAAGGCCGCTGCTGTTGGCAATAAACTTGTACAGGTGTGCCAGAGCATGTGGGGCGTCTCAGTGCAGCCCGCGGAGACTCTACGGCACATCACAAATACACACGCTCCCTACGCACGGCTCATCTGCAACAGCGTGTGCCCTCGTGTACCAGCGTGCATCACAGGGCAGGTTCAACTTCCTAAACATCCTACCGTCAGCACGCAGCGCCGCCCCTCGCCTTTTCACGCTCTCACCTTCCTGCGTACAGCGAAAACAAGCCCCTTCCACAGTGCGCATTGATTAGAAGAGCAAGACCAAACGTGGAGCAAAAACCAGTCTTCATTTGTGTTACAGTGTTGGCACAAAGCGGGTCTACAGCATAGAGCGGATCTACAGAACAGACCTACTGCCACATTTGGCTGAAGTTTGTCTAACAAAAGTGCACAAATGCATCTGTGTTTGTCACGATGGTTTGGTTAGTGGTGTGCCGCAAGATTTTTCCAATGTAAAAAACGTGCCGTGGCTCAAAAAAGGTTGAGAAACACTGCAATAAATATCATACCGTGAGGTTCATACTGTGACAATATCGTATCGTGAGACTTGGATATCGTGACACCCCTAGTGAGCATACTGCATTTTGTCAACGTGTCCTTGGGCAAGACACTTAACCTGTCTCGCCCCAGTGTCTATAAAAACTGGTGTATGAATTAGGACGAGGTAACATCAAGAAGCTGCCAATACGATACATACCTCGATACAGTGAGCTTTCATTTCAATACGATATATTTAAATTCGATTCAATACGGTTCAATAAAAATAAAGGCTAAATCATGGCTGTGATACTAAAAGTCTTTGTTAAACCACTTCTTGTGCAAAGTTCATATGAAACACAAACATATTAATCCCCAAAACAGTGAAAAATAAAAATTTAATCTAGCCAAGTTAAGATGACTTGAATTAAGAAAGTTTTTATCATGATTTGGGTAAATTTCACTTGAGAAGTAAAATTATCTATCAGCAGAATAAGACTTTTTGTACATAAAATATGAAAATACAACTTGCTACAACAACTCTTTGCACTTAAAATAAGAAACAAAATCAAATCTTGCTTGAATTTAAAAAACACACTTATTCCATTGGTAGAATCTACTCAGATAAAGTCTTAATTTAAGCCATTTTAACTAACCTAGATATCACTTTTTTCAGTGTGAATGAGTTTCCTTCTTCTAAACAAGCAACAAAACTGTAGCTCTGTAACAAAATAATGTAGTAAAATATACAAAAAAATATTCTTAATGATATATCCATACAGCAGCCCATGATATCGATACTGTATCATCACATTAAGCGAAACAATATATTGATATTTCAATATTTTTGGATGAATGGTTCCTTGTAGTGTGGTAATGATATCTGTGTAGTCCCTCAGTCGTCTAGTTTGTATCCATAGCAAACGAAAATTCACTCCTGTCAACTGATTAAAAGTTTTTAGACAGAAAACAGACATTTCGGCGCTTATCCTTGTGCTTGGATATGTTAAATATGACTCAGGGACAGTTCACACTAGTTCAACAAACAGAAACTGTAAATAAAAGATAGCTGTGTTAGTTTTAGTGTGGTTAGTTTCTCCCTTCCAGCAGATATGAGGCAGTGTCTGACCAGAACTAAATCATTTCAAGCTTAATTACAATACTAAGGTAGACTCAATACTAAATACTGATTCCGATACCACAATGATAATAAAAACACTCTCTTTAGAAAACAGAATGTACATTTTCTTTTATATTCCCATGTGGTCTTATATCTGTGTAATATCCATGTCCATGTGCTTTTATACTTTTTCCGATACAGCTCAAAATCATTCTAAAGCTATTCAGGAAAGGTTAATTTCTGTCCTATCAATGGGACTTTTTTATTTAGTATTAATTAGGGATGTAACGATAACTAAAATATCATGATACTGTATTGTCAAAAGTCTCACAATAATATCGTGGGGCGTCGCAATATATATCGAATCAGAAGTTCCTTTACTTAAATGCATTTTTTAATAGAAGCAGTAGCTTATAAACATCAGGAACTTCATATCCCATGATTCATTTCAGCGCAGACAACATGAAGTTATGTTTTTTACTTGAATTCTTGGGATTATGACAAAAATAATTCACACCAAAATCTTGTCAGGGTATTTTAACAGCAAAAATGTGTCCTATCTACAATTATAATAGCCTCTCCAAGATATCCCAGTAAATATCGTACCGTGAGATGCATATCGTGATAATATCGCACAGAGAGATTTGGATATCGTTCCTAGTACTGATACAAGCTCAAATGAGTTTTCGTATTGATTATCTGAGTTTCGATACTTTTAACAACCCCCAGTTCCTTGTCCATTTATTTATCATTTACATTCAGCTTATGTAATTAATAAGGGTGTAACGATATCCAAGTCTCACAATACGATATCGTCACTGTATGAACCTCACGGTACGATATTTATTGCGATATTGTGGGAAAGCTCACAATTAGGGATGTAACAATATCCAAATCTCTTACGATATTTACGCAATATTTTCACAATATAAATCTCACGGTATGATATTTATTGCGAATAAAACTGTTAATATGCTACTTTTTCCTCTTAAAATGCCTTGACAAGACTTAATCCAAAGAACTAAGACGTAAAAGTGCTTAGAACTGTTACTTCTTCTTCTAGTTTGCACTGAAATAGAGCAAAGGATCATGGTTATGTATTATGCTGGACTTAATTTGATATATTGTGCTTGACACGATAGTATTTCTGTTAGTCTATTCTCAGTTTATTATAGTGTCTAACGTAAATCTGAACCTTCTCAGCACTGGGGGCCAGTGTCTGTCCCAGAATAGTGCAGACGGCACTGGGGGCTGTGTGCCGTCCTCAGGTGTATTTTTAGGCACAGACATGCAAATGAAGCCCCTCTGCTATTTTAATACTCTGTGATCAGCTGCTCTTCTCACTGTCCGGTCACAAGTCCGCAGCCTCCAGCAACACACTGAAAAAGATACAACTCCCATATTGTGTGGCAGAATTAATACGAACGGCTGCAATGTTTTTTCCTTCACTTTTTTGTATAAATAGATTTGATTTGACTAAAATGTATAAACTTTATTACAATTATCCATTTGCCATAACTGGTCTTAAAAAGTTTGTATTAACCCACTCTAAATAATCCTGATGTTTTTATTTATCTTTTTTGTCAGTAAATCAATTCCTATTCCTAATATTAAACTTCAATTTCCCTGTAACTGGCAGCTTCTGTGAGCTTCATTTGACTGAAACTGAATGCTATGGCAGACATCACATTTACTTTTTACAGTCAAATATGAAGTGTTTTGCACAGAGACACAATGGCAGTATTTGCTAGAATTGTCAAAAGTATCAGTACCCAGATATTAACCAATACTAAAACTATTATTGAAACTAGATACTACAGATTTGAACAAGTATCGTTGAAGAAAAAAAAAGTGACTTAACTTAAAAATGTTTAAATACTGAAAAGAAATTACAGATAATAATTTTAGAATGAAACTTCTTGAACTGTATCAGAACTAGAATAGGACAACGTCTCCCAGAAGATAAACAGACAATGTACAAGAGGCATCATTGTGGAAAAAAAAATATTTCTAAGCTTTTATTTACATTTGAACAAAAAGTGGCATGTCTAAAATTATTCATACCCTTCTCAGTCATCAATAGAAAAGCCTTTATTGGCTATTACAGTGATCAAAACGCTTACAATAATTGCTGACCAGTTTGTACATAGTCTCTTTATCTTCTGGGAGACACCTGTGTCAAGAAAAAACTTGCTGGTTGAATAAAAGTAACTTCAAATCAAAATTTGCCAGGGGTATTAATAATTTTGGCCTTGACTATATAGTATTACAGTATCAAAATTCACTTAAAATCTAAATCAATTTTGAAATTTTAGTATCTTAACATCACCAAAATAAACCATTAAAAACAGGCGAGCGTCTATTTCTTTCTATGAAGTTCGCTAATAAACACCGTCATTCCTCTTTCGAACACTAGAGGGCAGTGCTTCACCACGAAACGCAGCAAAACACAGCCCTCTCTATCCCAGACTTTAAACGAGGCTGAAATGGGTTTGATTTGACTGAAAATAAGAGTATGGTCTTTGTTTTCCAGAGGAGCATCTCCGAGAACTCACTGGTGGCCATGGACTTCTCAGGACAGAAGAGCCGTGTGATCGAGAACCCCTCCGAGGCCCTGTCTGTGGCTGTGGAGGAGGGACTGTCCTGGAGGGTGAGACTAAACCACACTTTACTACTACTGTACTAATGAAAATAATAGTACTGCTTGTAATTATAAATAGAATTCTGGGCAAGTAGAATTACAGGCATTTTTTAGTTCCTCCCACTCGTTTTCAAGCACAGTACCGTAATTATGTTTGACCATTATTCATGCCTGCTCGGAGCATTAGAGCACAGATCTTTTTATTTGTTTTTCTGTATTTATTATTTATTATAATATATGTTTACTTTATTCTTATACATCCCTGCAGTTTTTATATGTATGTTTATTGTAAATTCATTCATAAAGATTCATATATTAGATAGAAATGTACCGATATCCAAATCTCTGGGTACGATATTATCACGATATGCATCTCACGGTACGATATTTATTGCAATATTTTGGAGAGGCTAATATAATTGTAGATGGGACACTTTTTTGCATTTAAAACACCTTGACAAGATTTTGGTGTGAATTATTTCCGTCATAATCCCAAGAATTCAAGTAAAAAACATATTTCTTCATGTTGGTTGCGCTGAAATGAATCATGGGATATGTAGTTTCCAATGTTCATAAGCTGTTGCTGTTCTAAAACCATGCATTTAAGCAAAGGAACTTGAGATTCGATATACTGTGAGAGTCCACGATATTATTGTGAGACTTTTGATGATACGATATCACAAAATTTTGGTTATTGTTACATCCCTACTATTAGATGTTTTTTTTTCATGGCTGATACTGATTATTTAGGATCTAGAGAATCTTATGGCCGATATGTGAGGCAGACTTTGGTAATATTCTTTTTTTCAAGTCTTCAAATAAAGCTTTATACATATACTTTTGGCCGATACAGATTTAAAGCCGATACTCGATACACTAAAAAGAGCAAATATCGGCCCTATATATCGATCTATCTCTGCATATGATAATAGAAGTCAAACGTTAGAGGACTAAAGGTGGAAATTTGCTTTTAAAATTGGCTCCCTTTTTTATTTTATTTATTTATTTATTTATTATATTTTTCAGGTTTACAGGTTTGAGCATTTTCTTGTATTGTCTCTTTAATTAATAAATCAATACATTTTTTCCTCCCCAAATATCCTAAATAGTTCCTATTCGCACAATTTTTGATGAATTCAAGTAAACGTTCACATTGTTATTATGGAAGTGAGAGATGTTTTGTTATTAGGTTTCTTAATTATTTTTATTTCACTAATAATTAGGTATTTAATTAGGTATTTTCATGATATACACCTCATGGTACGATGTTTATTGCAAAATTTGTGGAGGCCAACAAAACTGTGAATATGCTACTTACTTCTTAAAAAAAAAACAAAAAAAAACACCGATACTGTTAATAATGATACTGTTGTAATATGAAGAATTAAGATTTTAAAGTGTTATTAATATTAAGCCTCCATTGACAACACCAAAGGATCATGGTCTATGTAGTTCCCTTTGTTTTTTTAGCTGTTGCTGCTACATAACAATGAATTTAAGTAAAGAGACTTTTAGTTCGATATATTGTGACAGTCCACGATATTATTTTAAGACTTTTGATGATATTTTGGTTATTGTTACATCCCTACTGATCATGTATGTTATATTTGCCTCTAAATAGTCATGTGTGTAACTTGTGTTTCAGAAGAAAAGCTGTCACCGTCTCAGCGGTCACGGCAGTCCCTCCTCCTCGGTCTCCAGCTTAGGTTTGTCACACATTCATTTGAACTAAACTAACTAACTAAACTATAAATAATCACTGATATAATAAAACATTTTTATGATTACAGCTCTGCACATGAGCCAGCCCTGGTTCCACAGTAAACTGTCCCGAGACGAGGCTCAGAGGCTCATCACACAACACGGGCTCATTGATGGGTAAGACGGAGATTACAGTTTATCTCATTACACTTTTATTTTTCTTTATTTAATTACTTACTGACTGGATTTTAAATGACTGCAGTTTTTGTTTTGTTTTTTTAGTCCTAATAATATAGAGAAACGTTTAAATGTTATGATTACAGTATTTTTCGGACTATAATTCGCGCTTTTTTTCATGGTTTTGGTGGTCCTGCGACTTATACTCTGGTGCGACTTATATATGAAAATTTTCAGACTGACAGCCACGAGAGGCTCTAGGCTTGTGTGTCAGTATCTATTCCTCCTGTACCACTGTCACTTCGCATTCTACTGCGCATGTCTTCTGTAGAAAAAGCCGTTGTTCTGCTGCAAATAGTGAAATATTCAGCCGAAAACAGTAATCGAGCAGCAGAAAGAAAGTTTGGAGTGAGCGAGAAACTTGTGAGGGACTGGAGGAAAGCGGGGATGAAGAACACAACTTCACCAGACGAGTGCGCCATGCAACTTTCCTGGAAGTCACTGGATGAATCGACAAATCCTGGACTCCAGTGACACTGAAACCATCCTGTCAGGATTCAGAAAGGCCGGAATAATTCTAACTGGAACTGATGCCGAGTCTGACGACAGCTACACAGAAGAGGAAGCGGCGCTCTATTTACCTTATGGATCTATTGTTTATTTTTGGAGGTCGCGTGTGACACCGAGGATGAAGAATTCAATAGATTTAGGGATTTGGAGTGAGATCGTGAGTTTAGTAAACTTATGTTATGTTGTTTATGCTATAATTATCTGAATAAATGTTAATATGTTATTTTAACATATTAACGCCTGTTCAGTCTGTTGTTCTCTATTCTATTGTTATTACTAGAACTTGCCTTTCAAGATCAAATGTCAATTCCTGGTCTCTGATTTTATAAAATATATTTCCCCAAAAAGTGTGACTTATATGTTTTTTCTTCTTCATTGCTCATTTTTTGGCTGGAGCGATTTATAGTCCAGAAAATACGGTATATGTTGCATTTCAATACAAAGGTGATGTATTAATACTAGGGATGTAACAATGTCCAAGTCTCTCAGTACGATATTATCACGATATGCATCTCACGGTACAATATTTATTGCAATATCTGTGAAGAGGCTGATATAATTGTAGAAGGGACACTTTTTTTTGCTTTTAAAATACTTAGACAAGATTTTGTTGTGAATTATTTCCATCATAATCCCAAGAATTCAAGTAAAAAACATATTTCTTCATGTTATTTGCACTGAAATGAATCATGGGATATGTAGTTTCCGATGTGTATAAGCTGTTGCTACTATAAAATTATGCATTTAAACAAAGAAACTTGTAATTCGATATATTGTGAGACTTTTGACGATGCAATATCACGATATTTCGGTTATTGTCACATCCCTAATACCAATAAAACATAAATTAATAATACCCAATACAACACTAAAGCATATAAACCATATAGTAAAAGCAAAAATACATAACATGAGACCTAGAAAAATGACTAAACCCACTATACACATAAATAAATAGAATATACAACACAAAAGGCTTTCACACAGATATTAAAAGTCCTGTGTTTATTCCTACAGTTTCTTTGTCAGTTTTGTTAGGGAGAAGTGTTAAGATGAAATGGCAGAAAAGCGAAGGGCTGACCCTGTTGCTATGGGTTACTCATCATTTCACAGCCTCTGATTGGTTGAAGGAAAACTCAAGGAAAAGTATTCACATGTGCTGTATGTTTCCTCAATGTATTTTTTTTTCTTGTATTCATTCTTTTAGCTTTTACGCTTTACACTGTGATAAACTGTACTGTACTGTACGTGTTTATGTAGAGTTCAGATTCAGAAAATGTAAAATGAAAACAGGACAGTGGAGTCGCATGAGAAATAAATGTTACGCAGTATTTAAATTCGAAACTATAGTATACATGGCTTATTTTCTAATGTCCTTTATTATTTACAGCAAACAATTCATCAGTTTTTTGAATGATCATGAAAAAATAGTAAAACGAACAAACTGTATGAAATATTAAACATCAATATTACATTTAATTGCCATTTTTGCTCCAAAAATATAAAATCTTGAATGTTTGTTTGGTTACATAATTATTTATTTATCAGATAATGTGTATGAAAGTGTTCAATGTATTTGCAAAAGCATTTTAAAAAGTAAAAATTTGTCTCTCTCAAACCCTAATGTTTCCAAACTTCAAATGTATTTTAGTGCAATAAAATTATTCACTTGACAGTTTTTCTGTTTTTACAAATTTAACTCCTCAGATATTTCAACATGATTTCTTTTTCAGTGTGTTCCTTCTTCGAGACAGCCAAAGCAACCCAAAGACGTTCGTCCTGTCACTGTGCCACCAGCTCAAAATCAAACACTTCCAGATCCTTCCCGTGAGTCATTTTTTATTTGCATTTTCCTCACAAAAACAGGCATACATATATTATTTTTAAAAGGGTCTATATCACTCTATTTTCTGATCTACTGCATGTTATAAAGTTTCCTCTACGTCCACAAACACGCCTGGAGTTGTTTTGTTTCATTCACACTGATTTACTCTGTATATTGAGGCTGAGTTCTTCTCTCACACAGAAAACACTCTGTTCCACCTTGTGATGTCATGTGGCAATACAGGAAGTGCTCCACTGTGTTTTTAAACTCCATACACCTTCACTACAATCATTTGGATCATTTAAGACCTGGAATTGCCAATCTCTGCTGAACTAAAGGGTAAAACTGATAACTTGAAAACTACAGCTTCATGACATCACAAGGTGGAACAGAGCATTTTGGGCTTCGGGGATGTAGACAGATAAATAATAAAGGATTACTCAAACATGGTGAATGAAACAGATCACAACTCTGGGTATTATAACACGGCATGAGTAAATTTTGTGTAATGTAGACCTTTTTACAAAATTTTACTAAAAATTGTGCTTAGTTTTGCCTAGTGTTTCAATTCTGGTGAAGTTTATCATTTTACTTCGTGGTTGGACATTGGCAGGAAATATGTCAAATGTAGAAGTAATAAGCTCTATTCACGCTTATGTCACAAACCAGACAAACGTTTGGAAAGATGCAATTACAACTTCCGGTGTAGATGCGACACTGGACTCGCCGACCGACTGTGATAAAACCCACTGAAGTAAATGTGATTAGCGGTAAAATGAAGACTGCATACGTACGTGCTGTTTGGAATCATCTGAAATTCTGCGCCCTCATCTCTTCTAATCGTATGTACCCAGTGCGCTCGGAGTTGTGCGTCAGTGTGGAAATGAAGAAAACTGAGGTGTGGTTGTAATTGTCGATTCGCCGAACGTAACAGAACCCTGCAATTTTCTACAATGAGAAAACTGGGCCTGGGAAGTTGTAATCGCATCTTTCCAAACGTCTTCCTGGTTTGTGACGCAAGCGTGAATAGAGCTTATTTCAGTTCTGTTACCTAGCAACCAAACAAAACTAGATCTGTCAGAAAAATGTGTTTCTTGCGCAAAAATTGTCCCTGAATTTTGGATAGAATTTCTTGTGTTGATGACATAAGGTAGAGGCATTTTAGTTTAAATCTCACCACTTCTTCTGGTATTTTTGTACATTTTTCCTCAACTTTTTTTTCCCATTAACTGTCACTTAACCAATGAAAAACTTAGTGTTGTAGCCTCTAGACTGCTTTTTTACGGTTTTGGTCTTGTCTCTGACTTGAGCGGATTTGGACTCAGTCTCTTGGTCTTGATGGTGCTTTGTCTCGGTCTCGGTCTCGTCTCGGATTCGAGGTCTGACAATCGACGAGTGAGATCATATTTCATTACGGCCGGTAAATGTGCACAGGCTTCTAAAAACCAGTAAGATAATGTAACTATAAATGTTATGAACTTGAAAAAACCCACTTGATTCACTCTGAAGTTGTTTTCTGTAAAGTGAAAGTGGAAGTGGGATTAAAGAAGAGGCTCTCAAACTGTGGGTGAGGGTCCAAAAATGGGGCGCAGTACAGTTTGATTGGCCTGTTTTAAGATTAAATGAACATTAATCAGATCAAATGGAGATAGATTTATAAAAACATTGATATATATGTGTGAAAATAACTGTAAAATACAAATAAATGTAGGAAATGACACAGATGGTCTTGATTTGGTCTCAATGGGCCGTGGTCTCGGTCTTGTGTCGGTTTCGGTCTTTAAAACTCTTGATCTTGTCTCAGTCTCGACCCTCAGAGGTCTTGGTTTTGCCCTGGTCCCGTTACCCTGTGGTCTCGGACTGGTCTTGGTCTCGATTAGCGCGGTCTTGACTACAGCACTTGTAAATCTATGATAAATATTCACCCAAGGTTTAAATATTTGCCGTGTGTTTTGATCAGGTGGACGAAGACGGAGAGCTCTTCTACAGCCTGGACGACGGCCACACCAAGTTCTCCGACCTGATCCAGCTGGTGGAGTTTTACCAGCTCAACCGAGGCGTGCTGCCCTGCAAACTCAAACACCACTGTGCCCGCGTGACCCTGTGAACTCTGACCTCTGACCCCAAACACCCCCACCCCACCCCCCCGTCCCCTCGCAGAGACCCACCGCGCTATCCGCTCACGGCTAACCCAACTGGAGTGCCTTCAGGATGCACAAACTCCTCCTACCAACCACTGTAATTGTAAATGTTTTTTTTTTGGTTTTCGTTATTGCAGAAGTGAAGCGCCAGGCCTGTCACGATAAAACAAAAGAAATATTGCTACTAAAAACTATCACGATAAATGATAATATTGAAACAAAACTTTTCTCTAAGTTGAAGCATATTCTAAAAAATCTAAATAGTATAATTAAAGACACTGTACCTGATTTTTACTGTGTTTGAAATGAACTAGTTCTGATTTTACTTTTTTAAACTAAACAACTAAAATGCTAACGGTGCACTTCTTGATTCTCGGACAATAAAACGCTTTAAAATGATGCGCACATAGTACAAGGCGGATTTATTTTGATGTAAAAAGTTGCTAATGTGTCAAATTTAAATTAGTCAACCAACTAAAGCTTAAATGCATCACATCGGCTTGTTACAGCAAAGAATTGTGTATGTATTTATAAAAAAAAAAAGTATATGCGATAATTATAGAGCCATAATGCCGCACACAATGATAAATTAATAAAAATAAAAATACTGTTAATTATTACCGATGTAAGGATATCCAAATCTCTCTGTACAATATTTATTGAGATATTTTGGAGTGGCAAATATAATTTTAGATACTTTTTTGCTGTTAAAATACCTTGACATGGTTTTGGTGTTAATTATTTCCATCATAATCCCAAGAAGTCAAGTAAAAACATATTTCTTCATCATGTCTGTGCTGAAATGAATCATGGGATATGTAGTTCCCCATGTTTATAAGCTGTTCCTACTAAAGAACAATGCATTTAAGCAAAGGAATTTATAATTTGATATATTGTGACAGCTCTCGATATTATTGTGCGACTTCTAATGATACAATATCACGATATTATGGTTATTGTTACATCCCTGTTCTATTAATCATATATTCAAAGGTGTTGTACCTTAATTTTACTCTTAAAAACATGAAAATGCAAAACTAGTTCAGCTTAAATGGTTTGAAATGGAACAGTTTTTTTATAAATGTTTAATTATTCACCACAATGAATTTATATAGCTATAAAGCCAGCAATAGCTACCATGCTAAGGTGCACTTCCTGATTCTCAAACAATAAAACATAATTAGCTGACAAATTTTGCTTAAATACATAAAATAAAATCAGGTACAGAGCCTTTAAATGTGCACTGCGTAATACTTCTAGTGGAGGGTCGCCACCTGCTTGTCTCCATGGAAATGCTCTCTGTCTAAAATGTTCCACAGTATAGACCAGGGTTTTTTTTAATTGGGAGAATGTGAGCCTCCCCTTAGAGTAGGTAAAGCCAGTCGAGCCCCCGTGGTTTATTCCTGGGTAAATCCTGGTTTAGACCTGGTTAAAACCTGGTTTAAGTCCTGATTTTAATCCTGATTTTAGTCCTGGTTTCGTCCTGGTTTAGTCCTGGTTTAATCCTGGTTTAGACCTGTTTTAGTCCTGGTTTAGACCTGCTTTAGTCCTGGTTTTAAGTTCTGGTTTAGTCCAGACTTTAGACCTGGTTTAGTCCTGGTTTTAAGTTCTGGTTTAGTCCAGACTTTAGTCCAGACTTTAGTCCTGGTTTTAGTCCTGGTTTAGAGGTGCGGTCCACGCAGCATATACATATACATGATTAGGTTTTCTGAATGTCAACATAATTTCACATGTAATACACTTATGCCTCACCTACTGAAAACCGCTGGCATAGACTAAACGTGTCTATCACAAGGGAGACAAGCAGGTTACAGCACAACACTACATTACAGCTCAGATCTGTGGAGAGTTGCCCTTATTCACAGAAGGAGCTATTGTATTTTCGAGCAATAGAAAAACACCCCTAATTAATAAATCCTAGATGGAAATGTTTATGTCCAGGGAAAGCCATAACATCTCCACGGAGACAAGCATGTAGCGAACCTTCCACCAGAAAAGCTTCTCGGTGCACCTTTAAAGGAAACGTCGGTGTTGTAATTATCATGACAGGCCTGAGAGACGTTGGCGGGGCAGTTGTGTCTGTTGGATGTTTTTCATTTGGCTGGAAGTGCCCAAGGACGACGGCAGTTAATGTGTAGGCTTGAAAACAGCAGCTCCGCGTTGAAAAAACAAGACCAGAGTGTTTTCAGTGCGCTGTGGTATCGGAGGAGGAGAGAGAAAGAGACTGAGAGACGGAGGAAAACATGTCTACATTGTCTACTGCAGCTGCCAGTGCAAAGCTAATGATTCCCAACAACAAAGGCCAAGCTACGGTGGCCCTGAAGGAAAAAAAAAACGGGCAAGCAAATTGTAAGCAACAGGTAAAAGACGACAAAAAATTTCAAAGTGCAATAACACGGTGTAGAAATGTTGCAAAAAAATGAGAAACGTCAAAAAGCACATATTACGAAACGAAAAAAAAATACAAACAAAAATTACGAAAATACAAAAATTTTAAATACTTTTTTCTATACTTCAATTTTTTTGTCTCCGATATTTTCATGTGAATTTTTTTGATGTTTCAAGACTCAGCTGGGTCCATATATTAAGTGAGCAAAAATAAATCAGCTACTTGAATTTGCTTGATACACATTTTTTTTTTTTTTTTTTTTTGGAGAATTTTTGTTTTGTTTTTTACAGTTTTGTTTTTAAACTTTTTTGCCACGTTTTTCCCAATTCCTGTGCCTTTAAGCATCGTGTGACTCCTCCTTCAGAGCCACCACCTTTACTTTACACCACTAATGTTTTTACAGCTGGGAATTTCACACAAAATCTTCCACACACGTTAAATAATTTTCTTTACAAGTGATTTTATTCAGGTATCTTGGGTAACAGCTTTCAACCTCAGGAATTGTCACTATACTGAATGAATTTTTTTTGTAACGCTCTTGTCATAAATACCGTTAAAAACATAGGCCCACAATTTAAAGGTGCGTTATGTAACTTTTTGTCTGGGGGTCCGTCACCATCTCGTTTCTGTGGATATGTCATTGCTCTGTCTGGAATGTTCCACAGTGTGACATTAACCAGCTCTACCTTATGTTTATTCAATTACAGGTGTTTTTTTTTTTTTTTTTTAGAACAAAAATACATAAAAACAGACATTTTTCATCTCAAAACAGACATTTTCATCTCAAAATATCAGTATATTGTATAGTTTAATGTGATGATACAGTATCGATATCATGAGCTGCTGTATCGATATATCGCCAACAGTATTTTTTGGTATATTTTACTAAAAGAATGAGAATTTCGCACATCATTTACTTGAGTCGGGTGCATTGGAGGAAAGGGAGCAGCCCAAGAACACAGAGGAAAAAATAAATAAAATCCTGCACACCGTCTTACTTGCAAAATGTGAGATTTATTACGACAAACTGTGCAATGTGCAACTAGGTCTTCATCAGATAAAAAGCGTTTTACCTGTAAGACAGTGTGCGGGATTATTCTGTCTTCTTGGTGTATTTTACGAAATCATTTTGTTACAGCGCTACAGTTTAGTGGAAAGAAACTCGTTTATGCAACATATTTGGCATTTTCACAGTTTTGATGATTAAAAATGTATGTGTTTTATATTAACTTTGCACAAGCAGTGATTTAACAAAGACTTTTAGTATCACAGCCACTTTTTTTTTTCATTGAACCGTATTGAATCAATTTGTTATTTATTAGGGATGTAACAATAATTTAAATATCGTAATATCATATTTTCAGTTCTCACAATAATATCGTGGACCATCACAATATGTCGAATCACAAGTCTCTTTGCTTAAATTAAGAGTTATGGTGCAGCAGTAGCTCAAAAAAGGGAACTACATAGACCATGATCCTTTGCTTCATTTCAGTGCAAACTACAAGAAGAAATAACAGTTCTAAGCGCTTTTAAATCTTAGTTCTTTGGATTAAGTCTTGTCAAAGCATTTTAAGAGGAAAAAGTAGCATATTAACAGTTTTGTTCTCCTTCAGAAAATATCGCAATAAATATCGTACCGTGAGATGTATATTGTGAAAATATTGTACAGAGAGATTTGGATATTGATAGATCCGTAATCATGAGCCTCCCCACCATATCGTGAGCTTTCCCACGATATCATAGTAAATATCGTACCATGAGGTTCATACCGTGACCATATCGTGAGACTTGGATATCGTTACACCTCTAATATATATTGTATTAAAATGAAAAGCTCACTGTATCAAGATATGTATCGTAGTGTGGCCTGTGTATCAAGTAGAGGTGTAAGGATATCCAAGTTTCACGATACGATATTGTCACGGTCTGAACCTCACGGTACAATATCGTGGAAAACCTCACGATATGGTGGGGAGGCTCACGATTATGGATCTAACAATATCCAAATCTCTCGGTTTTCAAGATATACATCTCATGGTACGATATTTATTGCGATATTTTGTGTTAATGTGTGACTTTTTCCTCTTAAAATGCCCTGACAAGACTTAATCCAAAGAACTAAGACTTAAAAGTGTTTAGAACTGTTATTTCTTTTTGTAGTCTGCACCCAAATGGAGCAAAGGATCATGGTCTCTGTAGTTCCCTCTGTCTTTTTTGAGCTATTGCTGCACCATAACTCTTAATTTAAGCAAAGACACTTGTAATTCGATATATTGTGATGGTCTATGATATTATTGCGAGAACTTTGACAATACGATATCTTGGTTATTGTTACATCCCTAGTATCGAGGTTTGTATCTTATCGGCAACTTGTTAATGATACCCAGCTCTAGAAAGGTTTAATGCCATACTGTGAAACATTCCAGACAAAGCAATAACATCTCCATGGAGTAAAGCATTTGACGGACGCTCCACCAGAAAAGTTCCACAATGCGACTTTAATCCCCCGCTATGAGTTGTCAAATCCGTATGTGTCCGTATCTGAATACACTGTATATTATTACAAATGCATCATGTTAACATTATCTGTGTAAATGTTGTTTTAAAGCAATACAGTGACATGTTTTTCAGCCGTTGCGTTCTTCCATTGAAACAAATTGTATCAGAAGAGTGAGTTGAACTAATGTCATGGACTGCAATTTTCTATAAACATTTGTGTTTTTAATGTGGGACCTTGTATCATTTATTACCAGGAAATATGAACACAGCTTATGTTTAGCGTAATAGTCTTATCATGTACGTAAAAAGAGCACACGGTTTACAAATAGAGGACATTAAACGCATTAAATGTAAAAGTACACAAGTCTATAAGCGCACAGTGGGGGCTGTTTATGAAGACAGTATGTTTTTAATCGGAAAGTGGTGCTAGTTATATTTAGACACACATAGGGGGCGCTCTAACCTTAAGCTGTCAGTGGTGATGTAGTGATTTCACCGGGAACACTTTGGAATAAGCAGGGAGTGTGTGTGGTAAAAAAAAAAAAAACAAAAAAAACCCCCACCAAGTTAAAAATAAATAAATACAAATAAATTAATGAATTAATAATAATAATAATAATTGCAATAAAATATTACAGTTTACAAGTTTACAGTAATTATTTATGTATTATTATGTTTA